AAAATTATAAATATTAAATTCCTGTCTTGATGTTTAATTAGATGACAGATTTAATATGAAAGTTAGAAAACTAGATTTTCTACAGAAATATGTATTGTTTTCTTTGAAGAAAAACAACAAGGCATAGATTGTTTAGCTTAAGACCACACTTTCAAACTGTCAAATGTGTGCTGATGTTCAAGTTTCCATTTCGCAAACTATTGGAATTCGATATATTGGTTCGTGTTAAGGGTACTGGTGTAGTTTCTAGCTTGTCTCGAATTCGAAGATTGGCACTAAGCAATTAGAAGTGTGGTCTTACCCTAATTGGATTAGGGAAGAATCTACAATTAAAAATGTCTTTTTGATTGTTGAGTAACTTGTGTATCGTTTGACATGCCAAGTAAAAAGATTGTTTACCAACCTGAAATTGAGATTATATTAGCATGTATAAAATAATTATATTTGTAAAGTATGAAATGCTTCTTGTTTGTTCACGGAAGCATGCAATTAGTTGAAATTAAAAAAAAATATCCTTTTCTAAGTACATTCGCTAAGTATGTAATCTAATTCAGAGTTTTTATTGATTAATGTTTTTAAAAACTCCAAAGTTGATGTTAAAATATTATGTTGGCGGCTATACAGAAACGTTCATTGTGTTGTGATATCAAACGTTTAAATAATTCCGTATTGCATTTGAGGACGATAGAGATTTTAGATATAGAATAATGTTAAAAATATCCCTCTAATGTTATGAAAATCACGGAACATAATATTGCAAATTCAGAGTTTTGAAAAAGTTACATTTTATAACTGTCAAAATATTGATATAATTTTCAGTCAATCAATGTTTATTTAGCTGTTTACTTTTTGTTATCAATCAAACGTTGGCAAAATGGTAACATGTACCTGCGATTACGATAACATATCACTGCAAAAATATGGTTTTTGGAGAACTATCGAAAGAAGCGAGAAATGGTTATTGAATTTATTTGCTTTTGAGAGCTATTGAACAATTATGTACCACAAATGTATGTTATTAGTATTGTCTGATTAGTAATATATTTGTAGATAGCACGGGGCGCCAATATATTTAAAAACATATATAAGGTATTTCCACAATCACAATAATTTAATAGCGATTAGGAGATAAAATTACAATTACCATTAACCATTGTTTTTATACTACCTATTAATAGAAAAATGGGAGGATGAAAATAAAATTCAGTGTGATCACTTAAAGTTAGCTAAAGACTAAATATCATAATAATCTCTTAATGCAAAATTAAATCTACACTTGCATGTAACATGAACCCTTAACGCTTCATGTGACTTGAGTTAAATTTAGCAAATTTGGAGAATATCAAGGACATGATAGAATAAAAATAAAAAGGAATTGACATCAAAAGATGTCCTTGATATTAGTGGTGCTGAATTAATAAAGCCTTGAGTAGAAAATGCAAATTATTTTGTGTAGAAATGACAGCTATTTTTATCACAATCAAACATGTATCTTCGATTTGTGCAATTGTTATGTGTGTGTATTATGTTTATGCTATTGTTATTTCTAATAAATCCTTAATAATTAATACTTTTATTTGTCATTTTTCCTGCCAAACAAATTATAGTTAAGGTGTTATAAATAATTACAACAAACTATGCAACAAATTAAAGATTTTATTAACAAAAACAACATTGCGTCCGATATACCAAAGCTATAAATCTTAATATAAAACAGGAATACCAATAAAGAGCGTCTTATTTATCATTTAAAATAATTAATGTAAGTTAAAAGCAAAATCTCCATATCCTTTTTTATTAGTGGATCTAATCTCTGTTGCATAAAACAAAATCCTTCTTATTCCCCTGACTAAGTAAATATTATTCACCAATCACTGAGAGTTTATCTAATGCCAAAATTAAATAAGAAACATTTTTACTGAACGTTTGAGCAAAATAAATTTCGACTAAGGTTTTCCACAAGAGTAAAAAAGAAATTAATACTTTGTATTTAGTTAAGGTAGCCCAAGTATTTTTATGAATAACTAACTTAAATTTAAATTAATATGAGAGATCAGAAAAAATAAATAACATTACTGTGCATCATATTAATATTTTCACTAACCTATATATATAACATAGCAGCAATATGCATGAATACAATAATAGATTTGCAATGAATTTGGAATGTTAGTAATTCTTTTGGGAAAATATTTAAATGATCATCAACGAAAATCTTAGACTACCCCGACGACAAAATCCCCCGCGCCAACGCGCCTTGATTCCTCCCACATAGGCCACAAACACCAACACTAAACAGCTAGCAAACGTGCACTCTAGCTTAGCATTAGGCAGACACTGCACCCGTAGGATAAGAGTGCGGTATACCGGACACGCTATACCAGGGTACAGGTACGTACCTGGGCGTTTTTCCCCGCCCCCCACGACAACGGCTAACTAGAGCCGAGGTCCGAGTCTCAGAGATACCCTCCAATTGAGCCGATCCCCTCAGGTTCGAGTGGTCTAGAGGCTCCAGACGAAGAGAAGACCCCCCCGTGGGGAGCTGCCATCCGCCTGAAATACCTCTAGAGGCACTCGCCAATTCTCGGCTTGTGGTCCCCTTAGGATCTTGCCGTCCCCAAACCCAGTGACGCTGTAAAGGTCATCTGCGACCAACAGCATACACACTCAAAAAAAAAATCAACAAAAAAATTGATCCTTTAAAAAAATACAATTGGTTACTTAACCTAACCTTACGTTAACAATTGTATTTTTAAGATGATCATAGGTATTTATAATTTTTGAGGGTCATTTATATATTTCCCATACTTTTTCTCAATCAGCCTGAACAATATAGATCATTAATTTGGCAATGGTTTAAAATTGTTTATTTAGAAATACATTTAGTTCATCAAATATGTGATATGTGAATACTACTTATTATTAATTTCATGTATTGCGTAAAGGATATGCTAGGTGCTCATTACATTTATGCATTCAAATATAAAATAAAAAATATAACTAAAAAAATACAACACCTGATCAATTTTGTCACTTTAATTATTATTAAAAGAAATTATTAGCAATATTCTTTTTATTGTACATATTTCAAATAAATATTTAGGCATATATAAATGTAAGCTGTAGTACAAAAGGCAATAATGTCATTGTTAAACAATATCCATCAATAACTATAAATTGCATTTGGGTAATTCCACTCAGGTAATCACAATAATTACTTATTTTATTCACATCACATTATGAGCTAATATTGTAAAAATATAAGCATTTCCTGTAATTTTCAGAAAAACTTGTGAATATTAAATTAATATTCTTAGATAAAAGTATTGTGATTCTCTTATCAATAGTTTAATTTAACACTACACTAGACACAAATTTGTAAATTCTTATTTTACTACCTACCTAGCAACAATGCCTCAGCAAGAATGGGCCAACTTTTTCTATATTGTGTGCTACAGAATCTGACGGCCAAGTTTTTGTTCAGGCCACTTACAATTTTCACCCTCCTTAGAATTTATAAATTAAATTAAATCAAAATATATTTCCCATACCAGTATATCAGTAACAAATGCCTCACAGTCTGAAGCTCAGGGTAAATACGCCCCTGAGTTTGCTGCAAAGTATGTAGGTACCAGGTTCACTAGCCGGGTAGTCCTTGTCGAACATGTGAAAAAAATATACTTTTTGGTAAAAACCTTTGATTTTTTATGGTTTCTGGCCAGATTTTCAACATTTGATTGCCCGTGGGCCATAGTTTGCCCATTTCTGCTGTATAGTATTCTGTTCGAGTTGGTAACATTTTGTTTTTTCTTTCTTGTTTATGAGTATATAAAATAAAAATATACTAAAAACTATAAGGTACACAGATTATTTTGCATCTTTTTCACATTCTCACAACGGAGAATCTTGTTTCAACTTATAGTTAAGCTATCTGCTACATACATATCTTATTCCCAGCTAAAAGAAAATATTGAAATTTATAAAGTGAACAATTATCATGTTAAACAGTAAATGTCCAAAATAATAAATAAAATTCATTATGGCCACTTATTATATGATAATAAATTTTTCTTTTAGTAATGAAGGCACAAAAATATTTGCACTATTTGAATTTTGAATTTGACTTTTGTGTTGCATAAATTAGGTGAATACATAATCACATATATGCTACACATAATCTTTTGAAAGTTAGCAAGAGCTGTAGTATTTAAGATAAGAAATACATATGAATTACAAAAAGAAACAAGAATTAAATTGTAGATTAATAAAACAGAGGATCAAGGGCCTGTGGCCCTACTTCGCTATGAGATTATATGGTATTGATATATAATAATTAATACAAAACAATTTTTTATTTGTTGTATACACCTTGAAAATTCTTCTTAATCTTGAGCAAAATGGACCACACCAAATAAATTATTATAACTGAAAAAAGGTGTGTTATTTATTATACAATGGGTATAGTTTTAAACTGGCTGGATTAAACAAATTTTAATAAGGCAATTTTATTTCTTTACTTAACAACTAATTTAAATAAAATAATTAACTTTTAAATATAATAATACAGATATTTATCAATACCATATTAATCACCCTAGTGCAATACCATACGGGTACATGTGGTATATCGTGGTCCTGCCAGTAGGACAAACTGGTGGGACCATGGGCACTTTATTAAACTAAGTGGTGAAAGTTATTATAAAGGAATTTTTTACTCTGCAAGCAATAGAGAAGATTAATTGATCCTAAAGAATGATGATATCCAATATAAAATGAGTAGAATCTTGGAAGTCACATAATAATAATTATTTATATGGTAAAAACAGATAAACATAAAATGTACTTGTTAAATACTAAACGCAATACATTTAGCCTAATGATAACATTTGAATAAAGCAAAATTTTGCTTTACCCATTATTTTTGGTTAAGTATAAATTTGTTACCAATTGTTAGAACTTCAATCTGAAAGAAAATATTAAACTATCATAAAAACTTTTACCTAGGCAAGAATTGGACCTAAATATGGTGCCTGGTCACAATAGAAACATTTGGGCACTTCAGTTTCTTGCAACTCCACAAGATTTGTGCTGATCTCATTAGCTACATGGTAATAGCGACATCTTCTTGGCCCTATACCTTCTATTAATGTGTCATAAGGTGGTGCAAGAATATCGAAAAAGGCAGCAGGCATCTCTAAAGCTTCAATTTCATGGTAGTTTGACACTGTTGGAGTCAGAACACAAGTGTGAGCATTCGCTGAACATACACTGTCATTACTTACTTTAGCAAATAGTCTTCTGCGTTTGTGCACGCCATGGGCTAGACGCGCTGCCTCATGTTTTGCACGAGCCGCGAAATCAATCTCATTAGCGGCTTCCTTCAAAGGGTATTCCGAAAAACTTCTTATCCTCACAGCTCCGGCAATCACTTTTAACAGTCCATGCATGTGGGGGTGATCGTGTAAAGGCATCTTAAAACCAGGTTTCAACACAAAAATACTCATGTTCATTTTACTGTTTTGAATCACTTCTATATACGTACAAGGGGCTTTGTTAGGTTTTTCCCATGTTCCTGGGTTATTGAGGCTTTTATCAAAGCCTAAGTCCTCCGCTCTCAGTGTATCCATCATAGTTTTTAACTTGCCCAAGTTGGTCGTAAATTCAAATTTGAAGTTGTCATCAAACGTCCGTAGTGCGTGCCGATAAATTGATAAAATAGGTGGTACATTAACAATTTCCCTTGATGATTTTGCTTCATCCTTATTATCCATATGAAATGTAAGTGCACTGATACGCAAAAATTTTGTTTTAGCAAAAAAGGCGAAAAATAATCGGCACGATAACAAAGCGCTCTTGTCAAGAAACGTCATTTTTACTTTTTATTTACGTTCCATTTGTTAGATTCCTAAAACATTCAGTTTGTGATAAAAATATTTTAGACCTTACAAAAAATCAATTTTTTACATCAGCAAATGCTGAACATGATTTATTCATACCAGCATAGTATTATCATAATATCATTAGAAACATTTTAAAATATCTTTGCCAATATTCTGCTTGAAATGATTTGCAATCCTTTTTAGTAGCGACATCTAGTTGAAGTATTTAGAACAAAGTACACCCAATCAGCTGGCCTAGATTTTTAATTAACAATATTAAAGTCCGCGAGCGTATCAGAACAATACAAATTAATAAAATTTTGGTCGTAATCATAATCAAAACTGTTTTTTTTTTTGTCTAGTTTGGACGTGTTAGGGTTTTATGTGGGTTTACTCAAATTGTGTGTATGTGACTAAAAAAAAAATAGGTAAAAAGTGGTGATTATGATATTTCAAGCACTTTCACCCGAGGCTGCTAGGGATACTGCCAGGGGTGAAAGAGGTGTTAAAATATAGACAGAAAGAGGAGAGGAAAACAGGGAAGTATTTAGATGAGGTAAGAAGATAAGATAATGAAAGGAATAAAGGGACGTAGTATGAAGAGGTACGAAGATACTTATTGCTGTTACTTAAAATAGACTGATACGGTAAATGTGAGTTTTTCGTGTGTGTGTTGTTGTAGTGTCTTATGAAGGGGTTATTAGATGTGATAGCGGAATTAAAAGATTTTAGTTTAGAAAATATGTGTTCAATGAAACGGACTAAAGAAGTGAAGTGTATTTGTATGTCCAATTAGATCAGGGATATGGAATGGGTTAGGTATATTGGATGGACATACAGAAACATAGTTATGTCTTTCGGTTGAAAAGATTGAGCAGTCTACAAGGAGATGGAAAGAATCCTGTGGTGATTGCGATTTGCAAGGACAAAGATTTGTAGAGGTGATGTGGAAACGATGCAAGTAAGATAAATGGGCTCCGTGTCCCGTTAGGAATTGACTGAGGTGGAAAAAATAAGGGAAGAATATGCGAAAGTCGCGAATGAGAGATAAGGATGGGAAAATAAGTTTAGTATGAGATCCTTGCTGTAATTCAGTGTACCTGATTGCCACTCTTGTAGTACCCGGGTTCGAGAAATATGTTTAATATGTGATATGACGAATTTGTCATGTGATAAAGCTTTTTACATCGTAGCCGGCCCTGCCAGCACTACCAGCCTCACCATCCGCAGCTTCATTTCCGGCTATCCCCACGTGTCCTTTAACCTAACAAAATCGTATCTTTCCCTCTGCAGAGTGTTCGGATATGATTTTATGGGTGCGGGCCCTGATAGCGCGTATGGCAAAGCTGCGCTGTATAGATGCTACTTTATTTTTATAAAGAACTAGACGCGCTGCTTGGCCTCAGATTCCAGCAGCATAGGTCACTGTAGGCACAATCCCGTAATGGTAAATGGCCGCTATATTTTCTGGGTAGAGGCCCCATGACGGCCTGGTAAAAAGGCACATGCGGGTGAATAGTCTTTGTGCCTTAGAAAATATGTGTTCGACGTGTTTGTTGAATCGGAGGCGATTATCTAACACAACCACCAGGATGGTAATCTCCGAGCAAAAGGAATGTTGGTGCCGAGTATAGCAATGTTGGCCCTAGCTGCTGGCGGAGAGAAAGCCAAAGCTTTGGTTTTTTCTGGTCCAAAATTAAGTTTAACCTCCTGGCCCCAAATGGCAATGGTGTCTAGGGCTTCATTGGTGATGTGTTGTAGGGCGACTAGATCCTTGGCTGATGCAATCAGTAGGATCGCAGGATAGAATCATCCGTGTAGGCCTGGAGTCTAAATCCATCAGGATGTGTAATATCCAACAATTCGTCCAACAGGAGGTTTCATCTATCTGTGTCGAGATCGATGAGCTCTCCCCACCGTGGGAAAGAATAACGGTACGACCCTTTAAATAGTCTGAGATCAAAAGGAAAAGATTTTAGGGACAGCCTATTAGTTTGAGACGTGTAAGAATGGCCGGCCACCAAGCTCTGTCAAAGGCTGATTGCATCTCAAGAGAAATAGCAACAGTAGGGAGACCGCAACTGAGACCAGATTTTATTGAATTGATGGCGTCGTGCAAGGAGTGAATAGTGGAGGAGTTTTTCCTAAAGTCATACTGCCGCGTATTATAAAACCGTTTGTAGCAGATATGTGCAGGATACGCTCTGTAAATAGTTTTTCTAGTACCTTACCAAACACCGGGATTAGACCTATAGGTCGATGGGATTTGAGTGAAGATTTATCAGCGCTACCGGGTTTTGGAATTATTTTTAGGATAACAATTTTTCAAAAATTAGAGAAGAATCCTAGAGAAAGACACCGATTCATGATGCTGGTAATATGCTCGGGAAAGTTGTTAGAAACAGTTTCACAAATGTCGCTAGAACTTCTTCGATAGTAAAAGGTGGATCATCCTCGTGATTAGGAAGAGTCCTACAAGAGGCTCAAATTATAGACAGAGTTGGGGGTCTTGTATACTGTAAGTAGATCAAAACTGGATTAGGTTACTCAAAAAAGCTTTTTTTATATAATTATGCTTTAGGTTTATTCATCAACAGCGTTGTTAATGTCAGTAATGTGTCTCAAACCCACCCTATCCTATCGGTGGGTAAAGGTTGTAGGTACTGCCTTAAGGTGGTAGTGGTACAGGTATATTCGCAGACCTCGACGCACTCAGACGATACAGCCGAGCGAGGTAATTTATCAGGACATTGCCAAGGTCATTATTAACACTACTAAGGCTTACTATAACTTTGTGATGGGCGACTTCAATGTCAAAATGGGAGTACAAGAAAGTGGCGTAGTCTTAGTCTTAGTAGAACGGCGGGCTGTTTCCGCAACTCGACACCCAGTGCCTATTTCGCGTGGGGATGGGCATCAGTCCTGCCATCCCAGCTCCTCCAGAAAGCTCAGCAGTCCTCGAATGTTGCTGCAGGCCTCTACTATTGTCTTCGGGCTTCCCATCAGAGAAGTCCTTTGTCTTGCAACGCCCCTGCACACCAGTAGAACATGGGCGCTCGTCTCCTCGTCCTTCAGGCAGGCTCTGCACAGCGGGCTGTCAGAAATACCTATATTACAAAGGTGTTTGTTGAAGTATCCGTGACCCGTGAGTATACCCACGATTTGTTTTAGGGCTTGTATAGGTAGTCTGATTAACTTACGTGTAAGCTGCAGGTTTACCTTGGGAATGGCTTCCCTAGCTTGCCTGCAGTCCGTGAGTTTTGCCCAGTATTCGTCGTGTTGTCTTTGACAGAGTTCCCTTATCCAGGTTCGCAGCTGTCGATAGGGTATGGGTACAATTGGCTCCGGACCAATGGCTGTCCTGCTGGAACCTTCCCTGGCTAAGCAGTCCCCCCGTTGCCCCTTGAGCCGCTGTGTCCTTTAATCCACTGTAAAGTCAATCTATTGTCGTTACCAATGTTAGTCAACTTACAGTGGCATTCATAAATTAAGCCTGATGTCATTATATTGTTGTCCAGTGCCTGTAGGACAGAAGCGCTGTCAGAAAGAATACGAATGTGTTTTCCTCTTACCCCGCGACAATCTATCGCCTCGGCGGCTTTAATGATGCCCACACACTCTGCCTGGAAGACCGTATTGTAGGCTCCCAATGCTATTGAGATGTGTATATTTAGGTCTTCGGAGAAAACACCCGAACCTGTACCATAGTTGGTTTTTGAGCCGTCTGTGTAGACCCTCAGCTCCTTATGCAGACAACGGTCCGGAGTGTCTTCATATAGTTGAATTTTGTATTTTTTGTCGAATACGTACGTCTGGGGTATAAGGTCGTTTACTGCTGCAAAGTACGGAAATTGTCTGTGTATGTCTTCTAAAATGCTGGTGTGTGGGGAGTTGTTGTCCCTCCATAGCCCCAGCATGCTTAGACATGTAGCTGTGCAAGCAGCTTCTAGTTGTATAAACAAATGGAGTGGTCTCACGTTAAGTATTGTCTCCAGTGCTGGTGTGGGGGTGGTTTTCATGCAGCCGGTGATTGCACAGCAGGCCCGCCTCTGGAGACGTCTTAACTCCTTAATTGTCGTTACCTGGATTGTCTTGGTCCACCATACTACTGCTGCATAGCTGATGATGGGCTTAATTATGGTCGTGTACAGCCACTTAACAATAAGCGGTGATAGTCCCCAAGCTTTGCTAATCATTTTACGACATTGCCAGAAAATGATGTTGGTCTTAGTAGTAGTTTTGTCTATGTGTGAACCCCAGTTCAGTTTGGAGTCTAGGGTTAATCCTAGATACTTTACCTCATTGGAGAGCCTTAGTGTCGTGTTAAATAGTTAGACATGTAAAGAAAGTGGCGTATCGAAAATCTGAACACACGGCTTTGGGCGCAGGAATCACAGGGGGCAAATTCTTGTCAACTTCTTCAGGGATTCTTCTTGATGAATTCTATCTTCAAGCAGTCTGGGAGGAGCCAGCCACAGAGGAGGTTGACGTCACGAATTCCAGATAACGTGACAAGGAACGAGATAGATCTTATCATGATGGATTAGAAGCACATTTTAGATGTCTCAGTGATGAAAAGGCTCAATAGGTACCGGAAATGTTCACTAACTTGTCCGGCACTCTAAATATCAACTTTAAATCCGCCTGGTGAAGGTTACTCCTCTACATACGCCGCTCCAAGTCACTTCGGATTCTGAAACGATAGGAACTTAAAAATTGTAGCATCATAATTTTATAAATAATTTTAACTGATAATATTATTTTTATATAGCGCCATCTATCGTCATTCACATATATCATCGAATGTAGGAGCACTTTGAAAATAGCAAGAGGCGTGTGCGCGCCAAGTGTGGAAGATGCGTTTGGAATGTATAATGTAATAGATGGAGTTG